GGGTCTACAGTGTGTTCAGGGTCTCACTACTAGATTGGACTCATAGTGATTCTCCTGTTTACAGCCTCCCAAGAGCTGGAATTATAGGCACGTGCCACCATGCCCAATTGACCACAGTCTCAATTGAGGTCTCAGCATGCCCCACGGGAGAGGCCAGCATGGCAGGCCTGGGGATGAAACCCCAGGCCCCTGTGCCTGCTTGGCGCTGTAATCTGCTGAGCTATTTGTCAGCGCTTGTCACTCTTTAGTCTTGAGGGCTGGTAATGATTCTCACTATGGGCCTCGATTTTATTTTGTCTTCTTTAATAACTAAAAAGCTTGACTTTTTTACATACCTCTGTTTTTCTAATTTTAGAGATGCAAATGAATATATTAAGTCATTAAATAGAATGGTAGGAGAAATAGAATCAGGTTTTCCTAACCTGAAATCTTATTTCTCATTAATTTCTAATGGCATTGCCAGATAAGCCAGGCATAGCTGTATGTATGTATGCTCATATTATGTATGTTCTTTAAGGGCAAATGGCAGGAAGAAATTTTTAATACTACACTGATACTCTGCAGTATCAGTCTGATTGTTCAGTCAGTGATAAGGGTGAAGATCTCTCGTCCCTTGTTGCTTTGGCCAGGATCAAAATGGAACAGAAGACTGTCTACCATGAAGGACTGATTGACTCAAAGAAATGGAAATTTGAGTCCTGGACTCAGAGTTGTTCAGGATTCTATTCCTAGTACCTAGATACAAAAGACCACAGATGAATATCCATCATTTTTTTTTTTTTTAATGTATTTGGTACAGGGTCTCACTAAGCAGCTCTGACTCATAGTGATCCTCCTATTTTCAGACTGCCCAGTGCTGGGATTACAGGCATGTGCCACCACGCCAGGACTTAGTGGTGCCCAAGGGCCGGGCTGGCGGGGCATGTGGTACCCGGGTCACCTTGCTTTTACTACTGCCTTCTAATGCTTTTCTACATAAGATGGACTGCTGGATGGGAAGCAGATGAAAAGTTTTCCACACAACAAATTTGTTTTCCTTTCTGGCATAGGGGAGTAAAAGATTCTCTTTCAATGTTTCTAGCTTGATTTTTTTTTTTTTTCTGTTGTTATCCTAAACTTGTGTTTATATAAGAAAAACTAAGTTGAAAGCATTACTTCTCATTCTTTTCTCCAGAAACTAGCTCAGGAACTAAAGGTCCCATTCAGCTCTTTCCTGTCAGGAAGTTATTCAAATACCTGTGTTGTAACTAATGAGAATAATAAAAACCTAAGCAGTGTTTGGATGGCTGTAATCACAAGGGAACCAGGGAATCCAAGTACAGTGTGAGTAGACTCTTTCTTCTCTTAATGGGAGCTTTTTTGTATTGTTGTGGTTTTTTTGGTCTTTTTTGCAAGCTAAAAGGAACAAACAAAGCCTTGGGACTAATTGGGTAAAAACATTGTTTGGTAACTTCTTGATCTTTTGCTAACATTCTGCGCATATTTTTTAATCAGAAACTTTGGAGGCCAGAACATTTGAAGTGCTAAAGAGGAAACCAGGGGTTGGGGAGATGGCTCAGTGGAATAACTGCTTCCCTGGCAAGCACAAGGGCCTGAGATCAATCCCTGGTTTCACCAAAAAAAAAAAAAAAAAAAAAAAAGTAAAAAAGAAATGTGAAAGTTTTGGGTCGGGGAGATAGCTCGGTAGAATAAGTGCTTGCCTAGCAAGCGCAGGGTCCTGAGTTCAATCCCCAGTACTATAAATAAATAAATAAATAAATAAATAAATAAAATAAATAAAGGGGAAACCAAAACAAAACTGAAAACAAAAACAAAACAAAACTCTCAACTAACGTCCTTTTTTTAGATAAGAGTTTTGCTGTGAAATTCAGGCCAGCCTTGACATCCAGTGATTCTCCTGCCTCAGACTCCCAAGTGCTGAGATTACAGCTCCACCATGCAAGGTGTCAACCAAAAATTCTATATCCAGCAAAACTGTTCTTCAGAAGTGAGGGAGAAAGCTGGGCATGGTGGTGCACACCTATAATCCCAGGGAGGCTGAGGCAGGAGGATCCCTGTGAAGTTAAGGCCAGCCTGAACTGTATAGTGAGACCTTGTCTCAAAAAAAAAAAAAAAAAAAAAAAAGAGAGAGAAATCTTCCCAGATAATAAAAATCTGAGAGTCCTTCAACACTAGACTTGCCCTATCTTACATACAGAAATGAAAGGAATACAAAGACATATGAAAAAATACAGACCTCAATAAAGGTAAATAATGCTATTATTTCCCCTGCACCACATGGAGTGCTGACCCCACCCCTGGACCGCGCTGAGGTAGGACGGAGTCTGGGCTTGGTGGCACTGCAGAGGCTGAAAACAGAAGGATCACTACAAGTCCAAGCTGTGTAGTAAGACCCTCTCTACCAAATACATGCATTTAAAAAAAAAACTATTATTGTAGTGGTAGTTTATAACTCAATCTTTTGTTTTCTATACTATTTAAGAGACCAACATTTTCATAAAAATTTCAGCATCCTCACATTGACTTATTTTTATTTATTTATTTTTTTTAGTTCTTGTTTTCTTTTTTCTTTTTTTAAAATTTATTTATTTGTGTGTGTGTGTGTGTGTGGCCAGCTCAGCCCACCAGGGGGCGGGGCTGGCTGGCATGTGGTGCTGGGGGATTGAACCGAGGTCCCTCTGCTTTGCTAAGCTTGTTCTAAGTAGGCGCTTTAGACCACTGAGCCATCTCACCAGCCCCACTCACATTGACTTATAATCCATATTTTGTTTTCGAAATAATTTCAAAAGGCTAGTCCCTTACAAATACTAGTTTGTTTTAGGATACATTGCATGATAGCTTTACAGCAACAATAAGAGGGATAGAAGCTATAAAATCAAGGATTTATATTGAATTCAAGCTAATACAAATTCAAATTAGAGTATTACATAACTTTAGGATGTTATATGTAATGTCCATGGTAACCACAAAGAAAACTATAGAATATATTAAAATGAAACAAGGCATGGTGGTTTATTTTTGTAATCCCAGCAGTCTAGGAGGCTGAGACACAATAATCACAAATTCTAGCCCTGCCTGTCTCAAAATAAAAATTAAAAAGATCTGGGGATATAGCTGGTACAAAGGCCCTGTGTTCACTCACATAGCACAGTTTAAAAAAAAAAAAAAAAAAAAAAAAAAGGCCATTGAACTGTTTCACTGAAAAATTAAACAACAAATCAGTTGACTCCAAAATGAAAAATGAGGGCTGGCCAAATACCTCAGTGGATTAAAGCACCTTCAAACAGGCACAGGGGCCAAGGGTTCATCTCCAGGCCTGCCATGCTGGCCCTGCTCCCACGGTGCGCTGAGACGGCAATTGAGACTGGGTGTGGTGCCCGGCAATTGAGACTGGGTGTGGTGCCGAATGCCTGTAATCCAAGCTCTTGGGAGGCTGTAAACAGGAGAATCATGAGGAATCTGATCTAGTAGTGAGACCTTGAACACCCTGTAGACCCTTCTCTAAAAATACAAAAACCAAACCAAAACAAAAAACCAAAATGAAAAAACATTTTTTTCTAACTTGACCTAGTAACACTTAAAAAGAAAAAAAAAGGGATACCAGCAACCAGGTGTACTGGTACACACCTGAGATCCCAGCACTCTGGAAGCCTAAGGCAGACACTTCAAGTTCAAGCCCAGAATACACAATTTACACACTTAACAAGATCCTGTCTCGGGCCAGGGAGATAGCTCAGTAGAATAAGCACTTCCCTGGCAACCACTAGGGCCTGAGTTCAATCCCTGGTTCCGGGGGGGGGGGGGGGGAATCCTGTCTCTAAATTAAAATAAAAATACATAAATAAATGATAAAAGGTGTTGGGATACAGCTCTGTGCAAAGGCCTTGTTTCATCCCTAGTGCCAAAGTGGGGGGCAGGGGTTGTCACTAGCCATTTGAATACTTGAGTACTAAACCTTACTTTGAGTATGACAGATATTTTGTCTTTGTAATGGCTGACACATTGTGTCAATTTGAGAAGATTAGAAGTTTAAACCCCTCAGCAGGGAGCCAGGGTCCTTCCTCACTTTGTAAACATCCTCATCCATGCAAGAGGAGGGAAGGGACATGGTGTGAGCACTACACCCACCCCGGGGCCCAGTGTGGCGTGCTTACAGTATAAGGGAGGAAAAGAGGCTTGTTCCCACCTTTTTGCTCTTGCCGCTTTTGCTATGTTCTGCCACCTTGCGCTGCTGCCCTCTGCCATGCACTGCCCTGCCCTGGAGCCTGCTGATCACTGACTGAAACCACCACAAATTGCACTAAATAAACCTTTTCTTCCTTAATTTTGGGTGTTAGTTATTTTATCTCAGCATTGAGGGGCAAGTAACCAAGACAATCTTCAATGAAAATATAGGACCAAGCTTAATTAAAGCTTATATTACTACTTATTGTAGCCCTTTTATGATTTTTTTCTTAGAATATAAAAAAATAATTACACTAATTACTTATACTAAGAGCTTACATGGCATTTTGAAAAGTGGAAAAGTCATCAACTTGTGATCCAAAAACCAGAAATCCTAACTGGGCGTAAGCAAAGAATATTATAAAAAACATGATGGCAAATCCTACTATGTCTTTGATACAGCGGGACAATGTTGATGACAGTTGAGACATTGTCTTGTTAAAGCTTATGAATTTGAATATCTGAAAAAGAACAAACTTAAATGGAATAGAGTATCAAAGATTATAATTACCTATATCAAGTATTATAATTCCAAGTAAGTTAATTTCAAAAAAATCTTGCTTCAAATTAAAGGAGGAATCTAATGATAATCAAAGATGTTCATACCTATAATATTCAATAACAGAACTTAGAAAAAATAGGGTATACAGATGAATGTCCATTTTGTATCTGTGTATTCAGGGTGGTTAGGATAGATATATAGTTGCATTCTCTTAATGAATAGAATGATTTGTTCTAATGGTGTTTGTAAATAGTATCTCAAGTCTGCATCTTGTACAGCAATTAACCACTAAGAAGAATATATGCGGTGTGTTATTTGTTGAAACTGTACTTCCAATTTGATTTGAAACTGTCTCATTGCTATCTGTTTATCAATAAAATTAAAAAAAAAAACAAAGATGTTTGAGGATTTATCACCCATCAGTACAAAGCCAAACTACTTTTAGTTTAATTTTTTTCTTCTTTTGTATTTTAGGGAAGGGTCTACAGGGTGTTCAGGGTCTCACTACTGCATCAGACTCCTAGTGATCCTCCTGTTTACAGCTTCCCAAGAGCTGGGATTACAGATGCACCACCACACTCAGTCTCAATTGCCATCTCAGTGTGCCCTGGGGGCGGGGCTGGCATGGTAGGCTGGGGGATCAAACGCCTGGCCCCTGTGCCTGTTTGCAGGAACTTTAATCTGCTGAGCTATTTGGCTGACCCTCCAAACTACCTTTAAAATTACACAATAGTTGAGAAATTTATTTAACCATAAACCATAGCTTAAGTTCCTAGTACAATTATAGGTTATTAAACATGTGACATAAGATATAAATACCTTTATCCATGCAAAGAAGATAGTAAGAGCAATTATATTATTGTAATAAATGTGCCAGTATGCAAGAAAGTAGAAGTCTGAATATTTTTCAGTACTTTTTAACAGCTGCCCAAGTAGGAGAAAATTTTGTATATTACAATTTGCGTAGAAGAAAACAGTCACAAAACACAACTAAATGGGGAAACAAGAAGGGTTAAATTAGAACTATTTCTACATTGAAACTTCTTGAAGCCTATAAAGGAATACAGGAAAACATTCAAAAGTTTAATAAAGAGGGAGGGAGACATAGGACTTATGTTTTTGACATAAATGGAAGTAACCCTCACTTTACAGAAGCTAAAAATAACAATTCTCATGAAGACAGAGACATTGATTCTGTGGCTCCCTAATCCATCTACCTGCCTCCTTGAGCCATAAAGTGAAAATTCATAAAAGGCTTGTGTCATCTGCCTAGGCTGGAAGGCTTTTGCTCTACATGATACTTAAAAGTTTAGGACTCAGGTCAACAATATCTGACATTGCCAGTGAAGCAGAAGACCCAATATTATTATGGACTACTGAACTCTTGTAGAATATTTTGCTGAGTTTACACACCTATAATATTTAAATGATGGAACTTAACAAAAACAGGGGATACAGATGAATTTCTTTTTTGTATCTGTGTATTCAAAGTGGTTGGGATAGATATATAGTTACATTCTCTTAATGAATAGAGGGATTTGTTCTAATGGTGTTTGTAAATAGGATATCAAGTCTGCATCTTGTACAGCAATTAACCACTAGGAAGAATGTATGCATTGTATTATTGAAACTGTCCTACCAATTTGGTTTGAAACTGTCTCATTGCTATTTGTGTCTCAATAAAATTATGGAAAAAAGTTTAATAATTTCTACAAGGTAATACTGCAAGACAAAAATTATAAAAAAATATATCCTGGGGGAATGGAGAAAATGAAAAGCAATATTAGCCAAGACAGTTATACTACTAATTTTTCTTAGTTCATTGAAAAGGAAGGTCCATGCTAATATTATTTGGACAATTAAATGCTGATATCATGTACTCTAACTTAAAAGATAACAATACACGGGCTGGTGAGATGGCTCAGTGGTCTAAAGCACCTACTTAGAACAAGCTTAGCAAAGCACAGGGACCGCAGTTCAATCCCCCAGCACCACATGCCAGCCAGCCCCGCCCCCTGGTGGGCTGAGCTGGCCTCCCTACCCCCGCACATTAAAAAAAAGATAACAATACACAATATATTAAAGATTGTTATTCTATTATCTTGCGGTTTTTTGTTTTGTTTTGTTTTTTGTGGAACCAGGGATTGAACTCAGACCCTTGTGCTTGCCAGGGAAGCACTCATTCCACTGAGCCATCTCCCCGGCCCCTATTATCTTGTTTTGAAATTTTATCCTTTCACTTTAAAAATTTTGAAATTCAATTTCTTTAAAAAAAAAATCTTTTTAGAAGTCCTTTATTTTTCTGTGCTAGGAATTGAGCTCAGGAACTTGTGCTGGCCAGGCAGGGGCTATGTCACTGAGCTATACCCCAGGTCCTAAAAAGGTCTTTTAAAAAAGTATTTAAGACTCAGGTTATTTTTCGTATGAGAACTTCCTAAGTTTCATAAAAATTTTGAGTTCCCTTGCCTGAAACACCGATAGTTAATGATCTAATGCTATTCCCCTTCTTAGGCATTACTGGGGGTACTGGAAACATCAATGGCACACTTTTAGACTCAGATGAAACTTTTTTTTTTTTTTTTTTTGGTCTTTTTGAGACAGGGTCTTGCTAGGCAGTCCAGGCTGGCCTTATGCTCACTTTGTAACCCAAGCTGGCCTTGAACTCGTAATGATTCTAGTGCTTCAGCCTCCTGAGTGCCACCACACCCAGCTTCAGATGGAACTTTTAACTTGCTTTTGTGGGTTAGCTGTAACTAAGGGCCAATGAAAGTGAAAGATTAAATTGTAGAAACCAGAAATATTTGTTCCTTGACATTTTGGTATGGGGATTGAACTCGAGACCTTGCACTGTGCTTATGCTGCTGAGCCATATGCCCAAACCCTCCTTGACTATTTCTTTTTCTTTTTTTTTCCTGGCCCAAAAGTTATAAAATGCTTTTTTTTTTTTTTTTGCAGAACTGGGGATTGAACTCAGGCCCTTGTACTTTGCAGGCAATCACTTATCCTACTGAGCCACCTCCCCAACCCTTCTTCATTGACTATTTCTAAGACCAAGCTTGTAACGTTTGGCTTGGCCTGAGTACATTTCCATGTTTACTTTAGTCATTCTAATGCCTAAAACTGGCAGTCTTTGGTGTTCCTTTCAGGGTCAGTGCTGGTGCCCTGTTCTCCCAAGACCAGAGTACCTCTGGTTGTCCTAGCTTCAGTTTTTGCTTAATATTGTCCTGCCTGTTTCCCAATTGGTGTGAGAAGGAAAGAACATTTAGGCAACACTGAAGAGTATATATATATATACTAGAGGACTATGTGACTATATATATATA